CGAGTTATGAAGCTAGAGAATAGAAGTTCTGCAACTATTCAAGGAACTAGGCTAAACTATATTTCTGAGGCAATTAGTAACGTCGTAAAAGAAATGTAGTGTAGGAAGAATCATTAAAATTCCCAAACATAGAGATTTAGCCTCACATACCTTAACTTCCTACTCTTGAGCGTAATACAACATTCGCCAACCCTTTCAACTTTAATCTATATCAATACAAGTCAAAGGGATTCCATATTAGCAATAATTCTCATGTTTTAGTCGCTTAAGCATTTTCTCAAACACTTGGTGACATAAAGCTTCATAGTCCTTATTAATGATGTTTCTACGCCCAAGAAGCCATTCTCTTGATCCTAGATAAATTCTAAAATGTCAAATTTTTCATAATCAATGTCATCCTTCTTCACCCAGAAGATAAACAACACCCTTAACCAATAATTAACAATCAACAAGCCAAACTTATAATTGTTCATGCTTTTCTATCAAACCCATCAACTCATATCTCATGAACTTGTAGTCTACAATCATTAATCCAACGCTATAATCAATTAGAGGGTGAAGATATTACCTTCTTGACGTTCAAACTTCTTGAATTCGAGTTCTAGGGTTCCTTCTCTCAACAATGATGTCCCAATCAAATATCTAATGATATGGAGGGTTTACCCATGTTAATAAAATGTTGGGAAATTAAAATTAACTTAGAATCACCATTAGAACTTACCTTGGGTGGTGGAGGGACCCTTAAGGAGTTAGGTTTTTGAGAGCTTTCCTTTCTAGAGAAAGTTTTTATGTTTTGGAGCTGTGGGGGACGAAGTAGGGCTTTAAACGACCCCCCATGAGCGCACCCGCGCACCTGAAGACCTGACCGCACTGCTGACCGCGCAAAACGGCAGTAACACTGCCTCAAAAGAAGCGCGGCCGCGCTCGGGGCGCGCATATCGCATACTGTTCTATAAAACGCGCATAACTTTTTGCGCAGAGATCTGTTCGGGCTCTATAATATATCGTTGGAAAGATATTTCAATGGCCTACAACTTCCATCCTTTGAGTTTTCCCAAATTCCTTACACATTGTCACTAAACCTTGCTGGAAGATAGACCTTCTGCAAACTTAGTCGATTTTGTCAAATCTTATGCACCTCACTTTCCATCTTAATTTTGGAACAACTATTTTACCCATAATCATCCCGATGGGACTTCACATGTCCAAAATATAACCTTAGTACTCCTTTAACTCATTCATACTTAAGCCGAATTTACGGGGTGTTACACAAAAATGGTGCTAAAAATCTTAGGATCTCTATCGATGAGCTATCCAAAAGTAAACTAACAATTCAAGGTTTCAACCAAGGAGGACAACGAGCTATAGTTATGATCCGCATAGGATTATCCATTGGAGAGGTGAAGTCAAACACCCAGATTCACATCATAGATGCTAAAAAATCATACAACTTGCTGCTTGGACGTCCTTGGATTCATGAGAATGGAGTGGTATCGTCTACTTTGCATCAATGTCTGAAGTACAGATGGAATGGGGAGATATTCAAAATTGATGCATACATCAATCCTTTCACTAAGACAGAGTCATACTTTGCAGATGCAAAATTCTACCTAGATTCTTGTAAACTGAGTATGGAGAAGCCATTATCAGTCGACGAAGCTGATGTCCATTCAAAAGAAGAAAATAAGGCTCAATGGACTACCGTCAAGATGTCTAAGAAGAGAACTGAAGAAGTTTCCATTAAGCTATCATCATCCGAAGATGACATACAAACAAAGACTGATAAGGAGCATCCAATTTTTCGCTATGTTCCGCGTGAGCGTCGAAAGAAAGGGCAACCTTTGTTAGAGGAATGTACTCCAAAGAAGCAAATGAGCCACATAGCGGTCCAAGATTTGAAGGAGAATATAACCGTACCAATTTCACAAATCCCATCCGCGACTTGTGAGCCTGCTAAAGGCAATATCCAAGATGATAAAATAAAAGGGCACTTTGATCCTAAGGCCTTCATACTGCTTGGAAAGTCTGGTTACGACTTCTCCAATCCATCAAGACTAGGAGAACACAAAGACGAAGTCACTGGTGAAAAGATACATGGTCTTAATGAGTCCCAAATGAAGTTGAGAAAGCATGGGCACTACGTCGCCACTCTAAAGTTTGGGTTGGGATTTAGTTTGGCAGAACCTATTCGAATTTCATCTAAGAGAAGAAAAGAGATAGCTTCATCACAATACACCTCGATAGAGGAGATGGAGGAAGTTAAGGGCATGAAAATAAAACAACGGGCTTCAGTGTTTGATCGCATTGGAGGCTCAACCCCTCAGGTATCGGTATTTGAAAGGCTAAGTCACAAAGGTGAACGTGTATCTTCCAAACCTTTAAAGGAAGTTTCCACTAACTCAAAGACCTCCATCTTTTGTCGCCTGGGAACCACACGGAAGTCACCATCTAGAAAGATACTGTCAAAACATAAGGAGCAAGCCATTAGGAGCGAGGTCATCTTGAAGTTGTTGTTGACAAAGAAATCTGTAGTGCTTTCCCATCACGTATGAAGAGGAAGTCTATTTTGTCAATATCCACAGATGCTCCACTGAAGGTGCAAAGGAAAACCATTGTTTACATTTTCCAGCCTCGTAAAGAAGTAGAGAAAGAGAAATAAGCCATGCCGACTATCCAAGGAAGTCAAAGAGAAAAGTCAGACTTTTTGGAAACATCCTATCACATAACTGTGGAAGATAGCCCATGCTTTGACGTTGATGATGAAGTACACGAGGATCCCCCTCAAGTAGAAGATGGCGGACAATCAATTGTGGATGAGCCTAAGGAACTCAATTTAGGAACTTAAGAAGATCCACGTCCACCTTCATTAGTGCACTTCTTACGCCTCAGGAGGAGGAGGAATACTCCAAGTTATTGACCGAGTACAAAGATTTCTTCGCTTGATCGTATAAAGAAATGCCTGGTCTTAGTCCTAAGGTAGTCGTTCATCATTTGGGGATCAAAAGTGGAGCATGCCCTATGAAGCAATCACAACGCATATTTCGACCCGAGCTAGTACCACATATTGAAGTCGAAGTCAACAAGCTCATAGAGGCGAGATTTATCAGAGAGGTGAATTACCCATCATGGATATCGAATATTGTACTTGTTAAGAAGAAGAATGGTCAAATACGTGTTTGTATTGACTTTCGAGACCTAAACAAGGCATGTCCGAAAGATGACTTTCCGCTACTAATTATTGAACTAATGGTTGATGCTACAATAGGGCATAAAGCTATGTCATTTATGGATGGGTCCTCCGGATATAATCAAATCAGAATGTCTCCAAAAGACAAAGATTTTACTACTTTTCGAACTCCAAAAAGGGTATACTGCTATAATGTGATGCCCTTCGGTCTGAAGAATCCTGGTTTCACCTACCAACACGTGATGCAAAACATTTTTGATGACATGCTTCATAAGAGGGTTGAATGCTATGTCGATGATTTGGTGGTGAAGACGAAGAGTAGGCGTTACCACCTTGAAGACCTTCGAATTGTTATTGAAAGGTTAAGAAAATTCGACATGCAGATGAATCCACTCAAGTGTGCATTTGGAGTTACCTCAGGAAAGTTTCTTGGCTTCATTGTGCGTCATCGTAGAATTGAGGTTGATCCCGCAAAGATTGACGCCATTCAGAAAATGCCCGAGCCTAAGAACTTGAGGGAGCTTCGATGTCTCCAAAGGAAACTTAGCATTAATCCAGAGGTTCATCTCTAATCGGGCCAGACGGTGTCAACCCTTCTATCATCTATTGAGGAAGGATATCCCTTTTCATTAGGATCATTCATGTCAAAATGCTTTTGAAAGCATCAAAAGATACTTCCTGAATCCACATGTGTTAGGGGCGCCAATGCTTGAGAAGCCATTGATACTCTACATCGCGGCACATGAACATTCACTTGGAGCACTACTTGCTCAAAAGAATGAGGAAGGAAAGGAACAAGCCTTCTACTACCTTAGTCGAACTCTAATAGGAGTTATGTTGAACTATACGCCTATTGAGAAAATATGCTTAGCATTACTTTATGCGATAAAGAAGCTAAGGCATTATTTTGAAGCATACACCATCAAACTTATCTCTCGGGCAGATCCCGTGAAGTTCGTGATGACTCAACTTGTTCTTTCTGGACACCTAACAAGATGGTCCGTATTGTTTAACCAATATGAGATCATAAACACACCTAAAAAGGATGTGAAAGGACAAGCACTAGCCAATTTTTGAGCTTTCTGAGGAGTTTCCAAATGAAGACGTTTTGTTCATTGAAGAATTTCCACCATGGACAATGTTCTTTGATGGATCTGCACGTCGTAATGGTGCGGGGGAAGGTGTTCTGTTGATCTCCCCAGAAAGACAAGTCTTGCCATTCTCTTTTGTTTTAGGTGAAACATGCTCCAACAATGCCGCAGAATACCAAGCTTTGATCTTCGGTCTCGAAATGGCATTAGAAAGAAAGATTCTACATTTGAAGATCTACGACGACTCTAAGCTGATCATCAACCAACTTTTGGGGAGTTACAAGGTAAAGAAGGAAGATCTATTGCCATACCATCAATATGCTTCTAGTTTACTTGAAAGATTCGACCAAATGTTCTTAAACCATGTCCCAAGAGAATCAAATCGCAAGGATGATGCTTTGGCTAACTTGGCCACGACGATGGCACTTGGAGAGAATAAGTCAACAAAGGTATATATGTGTTATCGATGGGTTATTCCTAGACTTCTTGATCTTCAAATCAACAAAAGCCATCATATATCTGTTCGAGTGGTTGAAGAAGAAGATTGGAGGAAACCACTGATAGAATACCTTGAACATGGAAAGTTACCTGAGGATCCACGATAAAGAACAAACATCAAACGAAGAGCACCACGATTCTTCTTCTACAAGGGGACATTGTTTCGCCGCTCTTTTGAAGGAATATTCTTGCAATGTCTTGACAAAGAAGAAGCCCGCCAAGCAATGGAGGAAGCATATTCTGGCTCATGTGGAGCACACCAATCTGGTCCCAAACTCCATTTTCGCATCAAGAGGATGGGCTACTATTGGACGACAATGGTCAAGGATTGCATGGAGCATGCCAAAAGATGTCAAGCGTGTCAATTTCATGCCAACTACATCCACCAACCTCTAGAGCCTCTTCATCCAACTGTAGCTTCATTGCCTTTTGATGCATGGGAACTTGAGGTTGTTGGACCGGTTCCAAAGTCATCAATAGGGACATATGTGCATATTGGCTGCTACGGACTACTTCTCTAGATGGGCTGAAGTTGCTCCACTCAATGAGGTAAAAAAGGAGACTGTTATCAATTTTATCAAGTCATATATAATTTTAGGTACGGCATACCCAGATACATAATATTTGATAATGGAACGCCATTTGACAACAAGCTCGTGAAGAGTTTGTGCGAGAAGTTCGATTTCAAGCAGCATAAGTCTTCAATGTATAATGCACTCGCCAACGGCCTTGCTGAAGCTTTTAACAAGACGCTTGGTAACCTTTTGAAGAAAGTTGTTGCAAAGAACAAGAGAGACTGGCAATAGGTAAAGACTTGGCGGCCCAAATTGATCACTAAAATTAGATGCATGGTACTAATAGCAATAGGTAAAGCCAGAGAATGTGGAGAACTCATGGTATGGAAGCTCTGAAGATATAAAAGAAATATGAATGTTATTCATTCTTGAGAATAGTTGCTGCAAAAGTAAGGAGAGTAAACTGACGAGAGAGAGAATTTTACCTCTTGTCGAGACCATAAGCTCCTTAGGTGCCCTACTGAATTCATGATGGACATAAGGAGTCCAAGCGTCTTTATATAGAGTCTTAAAGACGGGACCAATGGGTCTTCTAAATAAGTTGTTTCCTTAAATAACTCAAAGTTCAAGTTATTGTAAAGTCAGACTTAGAATCAAATTCTATTTCTTAAAAGAACGGCAGACGAGAAAGCTAAAGGATCTTAAGGTTGGCATGATAATAATTCTACGCGACTTGAATTGAAAACTTTATTGATAAATGCTTTGCGGCCTTATCTTGTGAGGATATAGTCAAATTTGTCTGTTATAATATTAGGCCATGTGAATGTATTCACTGGTGATTACAGAGAATTGCTACACAGAAAAATGCAATGGAGAGATAGAGTGTAGATTAATTTTACATGGCACGTTCAACTGGCTTCCAATGCGAGATGGAGTCAAGGAAGAGTCTTTTCACATGATTATTGGCTCAACCGGTACTTCAAGTCTCGTTTTTACAGCTGATTAAGCCACTTCAACGAGCTTTAAAGTATGAGGCATCTGTAGTCATGTAAAAATTATTGAATAGTCCATAAAAAATTTGAATTAAATTCTAAATCACTTTGGGTCGAATAATTAATTTGGACTTTACAAATTAAATAAGTCCATTTTAATATTTAAGCCCAAGGTCTATTTCATCATAAGGCCTAGACTCATGCCATGCATCAAGTGACATGGCATGTCCAGTCAAACCCAAAGCCAACAAGATGATGCCACGTGTTAAATGATGTGGCAATCCAAGTCAAAAAGCAAGAACCGACCACAGGTCGCCAAATGGCTAAATTGACACGGGCCAATCAAAATCAAGCAAGAGAGTTCATATGTAGCTAGACTGTCCACCCTCTACAACAATAAATAGAGAGGTTACATAACTCTTTGGGGAAATTCAGAGTTGGAGAAGAACACTCCGCAATTGGTGAAGGCATCCACAAACAGAGAGATCAATCATCAAGTGCTTAGTTCTTCAACAAAGGATTGATCAACGGAGTTCTTCCCGGAGATCATCACGTAACAACAAAGTGCTGCTCGACTGTCTTGGCGATTAAATACATCACAAGGAGGTCTGCATCATCCTACATTTGAGAAAGACGCTTCTCAAGCCCTCGAATCACGGAGAGTTTTAGAGAGGAGAATCAAGGGATACATAGAATTGTACTCACAAATATTTATCAATAAAATCTCTTTTTCTCAAATGTAGGATGATGCAGACCTCCTTGTGATGTATTTAGTCGCCAAGACCGTCGAGCAGTACTTTGTTGTTGCGGGTTAATCTCCGGGAAGAACTCTGTTGATCACTCCTTTGTTAAAGAACTAAGCACTTGATGATTGATCTCTCTGTTTGTGGATGCCTTCACCAATTGGGAGTGTTCTTCTCCAACTCTAAGTATCCCCCGAGAGTTATGTAACCCCTCTATTTATAGTTGTAGAGGATGGACAGTCCAGCTACATATGAACTCTCTTACTTGATTCTGATTGGCTCATGTCATTTTAGCCACTTGGCGACCTGTGGTTGGTTTTTGACTTGGATTGCCACATCATTTAACACGTGGCGTCATCTTTTTGGCTTGCAGTTTGACTAGATATGCCATGTCACTTGACACATGGCATGAGTTTGGGCCTTAAGATGAAATGGACCTTAGGCTTAAAAATAATAAAATGGACTAATGTAACTTGTAAAGCCCAAATTAATTATTTAACCCAATTGAATTTAATTCAAATTTTGTATGGAATAAATTCAATAATTTTTACATGTCTACAATTGCTTCTTCTGGAGCAGGAACCACCACGTAATTTTTATCCCAATTGCAATATTTTTTAACATGGGAGAGGAGTTTTTCAGTTATCGAGCATATATAACTCGATACCGGCACGCATCGACCCGGCACCGAGGAAGTCTTTTCGACCTTGAAATCAGAATCGAGAACACACCCTCCGGGAAAAACTCTTCAGGGCATAGCTCCACCGCTGGTTCCTCGCCGGCCGACCGTGATGATGAAGCAGTCTCCTTTCGGTGGAACGATTTTTGAAGTCTTAGCCATTTTTGCTTTGATGAGTAAAGAAGAGTAAAACTTTGGAGGAGCGCTTGGTATTTTGTGATGAAACTCAAGGGTCTGAGAATACAAAGCATTGAGGAAGGCACAAGATTTTGAAGACTAAAGTGAAGAAGATTTGTAAATAAAGTTTGAAAAGTTAAGGAGGAGGGCATTTATAATTTCCCAGCGACGGTTCTAATCCGGTAGTGGCTGACCATCGACTGGCACGCATTAAATTCCTGGGAAACTGTTCCAACGAGACGTTTCAATCACTTCTATTGCTTTCCATTACTCTCCAAAAAATGAGGGGACTATTTGTATACGATCAAAATCGGGCTTTTCCTTTTTTGAGACTGATCGAGGCTGGAGCATGATAAGTCAAGGATCGGCTTCGATTTATATTAGACCATGGCACAGAGTTAGATTGTCAAGCTTGAGACCCGGAGACCGATTAAGATCGAGACCGACCAAAATTGAGACCGATCAAGATTGAGGTCGACCAAGATCGACACCGAATAAGATGGAGATCGAGGGTAGTTTACCAGGTTGAACAACGAAAAGACAAAATATCCGCAATCAGGCGAGGATCACGATGCAGATCCCGGCACGTATTAAGAGGAGACTGATTAGTTAGTCAATCATGGAATTTCCCACTGTATTTAGAATTATACCTAGAGTAGGACTCCCCTACTATATAAAGGGGGCCTGATCATTTGTAAAAGGGGCATCATATTCACGTTACAACAAGCAATACATTATCTTTCTCTTAAGCTCTCAATATTTTTGTCACTTTGTTCATAGTTTCCGGCAAAATATTCACTTGATTCGAAGGCAACCTAGCTCATGGAACAAAGCTATACATTTCATTTGGTTTTCTTTATTTATATTTGCAATTAATTTCAGTATCCATTTGCGTTTTCTCACAGTTTGTGCAAAGTGAATCACGTGTCTGCCAAACTACAGTATAAATTCAATTGTTATCCGTTTTTTGAGTAAACAGATTTATTTTTAAAAATATTAAAATAACAATCATAAAAATAGTGATATATTTTATTAAAAAACAATGAAAGATATCTTATATTATACTTTAAATTAACTTCAATTACAATTCAGATAAAACATAACATAACTTTAATTATAGGTTGTAACGACCCGACTGGTCATTTTGAGCATTTGCACTTAGCTCGGTAGTTTGGGGGCACGAGTAGCTACATATGATGTATTAGGACTTGTGTGCAAAATATGAGTTCATTCCGAGTTGATTTGATATGTTTCGGCGCAAGTTTTGAAAGTCGAAAGCTCGAAAGTTCATTAAGTTTGATTTGAGGTGCGTTTCATCGTTTTGATGGTGTTATACATGATTTGAGGCCTCTAGTAGGTCTGTATTATATTATGGGACTTGTTGGTATGTTCGTATGGGGCGCCGAGGGGCTCGGGTGAGTTTCGGATAGGTTTGGGCTATGTTGCACTCGTTTTTCTTATGTTCCGACGTCGTTTCTTCAAGCATAAATGGTACCACATTAAGCAAATGAGCTCCAATTTCTGCTTTGATTGAAACATTAGATCCGTAGTAATTACGGAGGCAAAGCAAAAAGAATCGTCGAATTTGGACGTCATATGAATTTTGATGGCCATTTTACTAAAAATTAGGTTGCCAAATTTTTTTCCAGATTAATTACGCAATTGCCACTGCTTCGTATTTAAAAATCTGCACTATTTCCAAATATTAAAACCAACATATCTACTTCATTATAAGGTCAAATAGAGTAATTCAAAAGCCTATCTTGACTGAAATTTCATAAGGAATTCATTAGAAGCATCAAAGGCAAGTTTCAGGATCGTTTAGTATGCAAAACGAGGCAGAACATCTGGGCAAAATTACTTAATATGGAAGGTTTGTTCATTTGGTCATATTTTGAGTTGGGGAGCTCGGATTTGGATAATTTTTGGAGGCGAATTTCACCATATGGATTGGGGTAAGTGTTCTATACTCAATTTTGGTTATATTTCATGAATCCATCTTCGTTTTTGGCATTTGATTGATGATTTCAAAGTGAAATTTGGGGGTTTTGTCTAAAATTTCATAAAGTGAATTTTGGAGTTTTGAACACCGATTTGGAGTCGGATTTAAGTGAAAATAGTATGGTTGGACACGTAATTGAATAGATTGTTGGATTTGTAAATTTTGTCAGATTCTGAGGTGCGGGGCCAGGTTGGGCATTTTGGCCGATTTTGGGCTTTTGATTAAAGATTCGACCTTTTTCGATTAGGTTTTGTTCCTTTAGCATTGTTTGATGTATTTGATTTGTCTTTTGGTTAGTTTTGAGTCGTTTGGAGGTCGGAACGCGCGTGATGATATTTTTGAGGCATCGCTTGGCTTGCTCGGTAATGGAATCAGCTTGTTCAAGATAAGTAACTCTTTTAAACTTAGTGCTAAGGGTATGAAACCCTGAATTTTGTGCTATGTGATTGGTGTTGAGGTAACGCACATGCTAGGTGACGGGCGTGTGGGCGTGCACCCTGTGAATTGTGACTCTGTTATTTCCCTAGCACTATTTAGTGGCCCTAGTTTGTTGTTATTTGTGTTTTCACCATGTGATTAATAAATTGAGCTGTCAGTCATGCTAGATATCATGTTTAGGCTTTATGCTGATATTGCTAGAACCCATAGTGGTCTTTTCTTGCAATCACCTCACTGATTTCATGGATAGTTCTTACTCA